TTTTTCATTATTATTATTGTTAGAAAGGGTCATACTATGCAACTCTGGCTATCCTGGAACTCACTCTGTAAACCAGGCTGGCCTTGAACTCACAGACATCTATTTGCCTCTGCCTTCCTAGTGCTGGTGTTAAAGGGAGTTTTGTTTTGTTATTTTCTGTATTCTTTTAAGAATCATGAGTATTTGCCTGCACATTTTTATATGCATAGTCTGCATGCCTGTAGCTGCAGAGGCTAGAAGAGGCCGTCAAATCCCCTGTAACTGAAATAACAGAAGGTTTAAGCAGTCCTCTGCAAAAACAGCAAGTGCTCTTAACTTGTGAGCCATTGATCTAGCCCCCTGAAATGATATTCTTATTCCATTTTATTTTAGCCTTTGTCTAAAATAAAAGAACATAATGTAGCAATGCAGCACTGTTAACAGGCTGAAGTTACTTAAAAATGGACCAAGAGACCAGAAGAAGAAAAGTCATTCTCTGAGACTTGTGGGTTTTTTTTAAAAATATTTTCCTTTATGTTGTACTCACTTTAGAGAGGACTGGGTAAGAAAGGCATTACTAAACTTAAAACTTTTTCAGGATGAAAAACCTGGACTGAGATTTCATAACAGATTACACCTGGGTGGATAAAAACAGAAGCAGGCTCCTGAGATGGCAACGAGGGGTCAAAAGTTGGGGACCATTTTGGACTATCAAAATCCTGAGAGAGAGAGAGAGAGAGAGAGAGAGAGAGAGAGAGAGAGAGAGAGAGAGAGAGAGAGAGAGAGAGAGAACAGCTCACAAACAGAAATCCCCTGAAGGATGTCTAGGCAAAATACTACAAGTCTCAGAGAGAGAGAGAAAGAGAGAAAAGTGTTTAACAGCTTGTAGTTAGTTATGTGTGCACATTGCTCAAGGTGGCCAAAAGGCTAAGAGAACTGTATAAAACATTACTTAGAAATGAGTAAGAGAAGACTTACTCTTAAAGGACTTGCCATATCAAATTAATTTACTGAGCCCAAAAAATAATGACAGTTCTAGGGAAACTTGGAAATCACAGTCTTCCATACTGAAGGTCTTGAAGAAGCAGAAATAAAACTAGGTTTACAACTGTCTTTTCCTCTCCTGTCACTTCAGCCTTCTACTTAATCCATGTCTGGGATAGCAGTGAGCGAAGTAAGAAACAGACATCAAGACCTAGGCTCCTGATTTTCACATACTCCTGAAGAATATGAAACCTTTGTTTCATTGTTTTTATTTTAACAATTACATTCTCCTCAAAATTCCAAAAACCAATACTTGCCTTTGGTGGAGACAGAATTTCAGAGAAGCCACTGAATCATTTAATAGTCTCCATAAACCTATTATGAACCAAAGTTTCATGAATATGAAATGGAAGGGTGGGAGTCACTGGCAACCAGGAGCAAATCCAGTTCCTTACAATAAAATAGCACCAAGATTCACAAATGATCACCAGGGTTGAGAAAGCTCTGACAGCTATAATGGGCTAGAATGACCTTAATGTGCTTCCAGGAGAAGCCAACTCAAGTGTTTAGATGTCATAACCATTAGTAACTTAGGCTGAATGAGATGATTATATCTACAATCATGCATTACAGTAGCTCTTTTTCTCCAGGGGCTCCAGTGTGCTAGCAAGAAAAACAAATGAGCAAATTTCATTTAGATTTAATATCTCTAAGAATGAAATTTCACAATATGCTTTCGCATCAACAGTTTGATAAACACATAATTTAAGATACTCTCCAAAAGTATTTACTTAGGAAGCAACCCCTAACCTGTAGGAAAATCTGAGGAATATAAATGTAAAATAAATTTCCCACCTCAATTTTTTGAAAAGAAACTCAGTCCCTCTCATGATCTTCAAGGTTCCAGGCAGGGCTGATGGTCATCTCTTCATGGTCTGCTACATGCCATACAGAAGTTAGTTGGTTCTCTTCAGTTTATGGCAAATTTCCTGTTTATGTCAATCTAGGATTTGTATTTTGCACACAATAAATGGTTTAAGGGGTTAAAAATATGCTCAGCAATTAAGAGCACTTCCTGCTCTTGCAAAGTAGCAGAATTTGGTTCCTTGTGTCCATGTTGTGTGGTCAGTCCCAGGGTAATCCCACACCTCTGGCCTCCACAGGCACCTGTACTCATATGTGCACAGGCACACACACACACACTTAAAATTAAATCTTAAAAAATAATAAATGACTAGAGGTTGTTTTTAATGAAGCCATAATAAATCAAGACTCAGAACATGCATCACCTTTGTTTTAATGTTTTTATTTTAACAATGAAAGAAGATTAGCAAAATCTGCCAAACATTCTCCCTTTTTGTGTTAGGTGGGGTCAGCATCCAGTCAGGAGGCAAGTCCTGTGAACCCTGTCCAAATAGCTACGTGAGCAAATAGTGAGATAAACAAGCCATTCCTGGAGACAGAGGTGGAGCTGGGATTTGAATGAATCAGGTCATCCCACAGAGTGGGTGTCTCCTTCCTAAGCTGCTCCCTGGGGCACAATTAAAACCCCTATAAAAGGCCCAACTCCCAGGTACCTAGCACACTTGCCTGCAGTGTCAGCGAGCACTTGGCTTCTTCCTCTGGTGAAGTGGGTAAGTCCCATTCTGTGGGATGGTGTTCTTCTGTTCGACTCTTCGTTTTCTAGCCATGGTACATGTTGGGGGAATGAAGGTAGGCTCTATGTTCCAGAAGGGATCTCCACCTTCCAATATTGACTAAATCTCACTTATTCCATCTCCTCCTTCCCCTTCTCTTTTTTGATGAGGTCTCACTGTTTAGCCCTGTCTAGCCTAGACTTTACTATGTAGTCTAGGCTGGTCTCAAACTCATAGAAACTGGCCTGTCTCTGCCTCTGAGGAGCTAAGATTAAAGGAACGAGCCACTATGCTTGGCTTGTCTCATCTTTTTATGGTTGGAGCCCTCACTTGAATAGCAGTTCTCTCAAGGCTCTGAACTCAATACTTAGGCACATCAAAAAATACCGTGTGTGCCTCTTACGAGGCTCATCTTTCTGAAAAACTATCAACCCCAAAGTGTGCAAAATCTCTGATCTCTTTTTCATGTGTTCAGTATGACATAGGCATCTTCATACAGTTCACATCTGAGTTGGTATGTGAGGTTTTCGAGTTCAAATGATAATACAGAACTCAACTAAGTGACCTACTATGCAGTCAGCCAGCAAAGCCATCCAAGTATTCTTTTAATAAGGTTTTGTTGTGGCCGTGTGTTTGCTTTGTCTTGGCAATACTGGAAATTGAACACATTATTTTGCATTTACTAACAGTCACTCTACCACTGAGCTACATTCCCAGAGGGCCTCCCCCCCTTTATAACACCAACATTCAAATGATTTACTTGCACTTAACAAAGGCTAGTCTTAAGACCAGTATCATTCAAAGTTCTCCAGGCTTGTCTGACCTATTGACTCTGATTCACCAATCAGGATTTCTCAAATAATTCCAATATCAGAAGATATGAACAGCCATAGTATATTGGAGTTAAGACAGATAACATGCATTCTGTTTTTCTGCCTTGCTGTATCTAAATGTTACAATGTTTTATTTTGATGAGGAAGCACTCTTTAATCTTAGAATTGGTGACATGAATTAGTCCCTTATAGGCTATACATTTAAGGAATGATTTACATTTCCTTTTCACTGCTGTTTGTTGCTATGTTTTTGCAGACACAATTCTACACATAGCTCTATTTACTTTTAAAAATGCTCGTCTTCTTTCACATCTTGGCTTTTTTTTTTAAAAACCTATCCTTTTTTTGCTCAACTTTAGGGGTTGTTGTGAGTAGCAATATGTAGAATTTAAATTCTTATTCTCATCTCCTCATTATCTATTATGAAATATGCTGAAACAAAAAAAGAGAGGAGTGTATGGATAGTCCACATCGATGGACAATGAAAAGCTGACTTTTCAGTTTGAAGGTGGTTTGCTTGGCTTTGAATTTTTCAATATTTCTCTTCCTCTTTCAGAATACAGTAGTCAGGGATAAAGTGCTCTGAAAACGCAAGTTGCAGTAACTACTAATAGAAAGTCTAAAGATCTGTCTGAATCAGTGTAAGTAAAGTTTCCCTAAAATCGGAAGCCCAGATTTGCTTCTGAATCCTATCTTATTGTTCTAGGTTTACTTGAATTTGAAGGAAAGAAAAAAATGTCTCCACTTATAAGAAGCGTTATTGATATCGCTGAAGTTTTCAATCATTATGCCTCACATAGTTGTGATGGAGCATCACTAAGCAAGAAAGACCTGAAGAACCTCCTTGAAAGGGAACTCGGAACTGTCCTTCAGGTAATATCTGACAAGAAAAAGAAATCTATGGGTGTGGAGCTATCATTTTTCCTCCCAATAAAGATCAGAGTAAAGAATATTGATTAAAATGGATTTTTCAGCATAACAGGTCTACATCACATCCTCATTCATTTTTGAACCTGAGGTATTTAAATTGGTGTTGTAATCTGAGTACTAAAGAAGTTAATAGCATGTATTTAATGGATTTGGTGGTACTGTTAATGGGAATGTTAATTAATAGGGCATTACCACTAATGATGCCTAATCAAGTTAGTAGACTTGAAGGGACTTTTTTTTTTTTGCTCCCAACTTTCAGCAACTGAAATCTGCCCGTTTCTCGACTAAAATAGTGTTGCTGTAAATATCTTAGTTCTTCAAATATGGAATAGAAATTAAATCAGGAGTACTGGCTTTTTCAATAGAAATGTCTGTCAGAAATCTTCATAAAATTTCATTTTATCGATCACAAGGAGAAATTCATTCTTATTCCGCCATCTAGAAAGAATCTGTTGTTTTGATCAGCACACAATTACAAAAATTTCCAAGAAGGGTATGCTTTGAAATGAGTCGTTCACATATCATATGGGAAAACAAGACAACATACATACACTATGCATTTTCTAATTGCTCGAAATATCTCTTAATCTCAACACAACATAAAATAGGTGTGAGAGTAAAAGCTTACTACATGTAAATAATTAATTATAAAACATTTGTTTTAATCTTTCAGAGACCACATGACCCCGAGACGGTAGACCTGACCCTAGAACTTCTGGATCGCGACTCCAATGGGCGTGTTGATTTCAATGAATTCCTCCTGTTCCTTTTCAAGATTGCTCAAGCTTGCTATTATGCTCTCGACCAGGCTGCAGGGCAGGATGAGAGGCAAGATCGCAGGCAAGAAGACCAAAGGAGATTCGAGCCCCAGGTTGAAGAACCAGGGCGCCGAAGCCGGCAGAAGAGACATGAGCAGGAGGAGCGCGCTGAGGAGCTGAGGAAGAGGCAGGAGAGATTGGAGCAGCGCTGCGACGAAGAGCCCCGGCTGCAAAGACGAGAACTGCAAGAACTAGAGGAGCGCCTTGCAGAGAAAGAGCCGCTAAGCTGGAGCCAGGGTCCTGATGCTGAGGAGTTTTCTGAGGAAGAGGAACAGCAGAGGCGAGAGAGGAAAGAACTCAGGAGCGAGGACCACACGGAAGAGAGACGGCTGCAGGAGCGCGGGCGAAGAGAGCTAAGCGAACCGCAGCGGAGGCGCGAACCCCAGTTGAGGCGCACGCAGGAGTTGGTGCCCGAGGAGGACGAGCAGACGCAGCTCCAGGAGCCCAACGAGAGCTTCACCCAGAGGTGGCAGCGGCAGCTGGAAAGCGAGGCAGAAGCCCGTCAGAACAAAGTCTACTCCAGGCCTCGCAGACAGGAGCCGGAAAAGCGTCAGCTCGGGGAGCAGGAGCAGCGCCGCGACCTCGGACCGCAGCGTCCCGCTGAGGAGGAGCACCTGGAGCAAGAGCAGCAGTTCCGCAAGCGGGAGGAGCAGCGCTTCCGGGAGGATGAGTTGCAGCGAGCCCAGCTCCAGGACAGCCTCCTAGAGGAACGCCTGAGGCGTCGTCAGGTGGAGCGCCGGGACCAAAACAGAAGCGGGCAACTGCGGGAAGAAAGCCAGAGGCGCCACACGCTGTACGCCAAACCCAGCCAGAGGCAGCAGAGGGAGGAAGAGCTACGCGAGGAGCGGCTGCTGCAAGAAGTGGAGCAGCAGCGCCAGCAGAGGGGGAGGAGATATCGCCAGGAGGAAGAGCAGCTGCAGAAGGAAAGGAGACACCTGCAGCAGGAGAGGCAATATCAAGAGGAGGAACTGGAGCAGGAGGAAGAGCGGCTGAAGCAGCAGGAAGAGCGACTGCGGAGAGAAAGGAGAAGCCTGCAGCGGGAGAGGCAGTGTCACAAGGAGGACGAGGCGCAGCGGGAGGAAGAGCAACTGCAGCAGGCGGAAGAGCATCTGCAGCGGGAGGAAGAGCGGCTGCGGAAGGAAAGGCGACTCCTGCAGCAGGAGAGGCAGTATCAAGAGGAAGAACTGCAGCAGGAGGAAGAGCATCTGCAGCGGGAGGAAGAGCGGCTGCGGAAGGAAAGGCGACTCCTGCAGCAGGAGAGGCAGTATCAAGAGGAGGAACTGCAGCAGGAGGAAGAGCATCTGCAGCGGGAGGAAGAGCGGCTGCGGAAGGAAAGGAGACTCCTGCAGCAGGAGAGGCAGTATCAAGAGGAAGAACTGCAGCAGCTGCGGGCTGAAGATCAGCGTAGGGATCTGAAATGGCAGTGGCAACCAGAGAAAGAAAACCAAGTTCGCAGTCACAGGCTCTTCTCCAAGCGCAGGGAGGATGAAGAAAAGATCCAGCAGCTGGAAGATTCTCTGGAGCAAGAGAGACGGTTACGTCAGGATCGGCGGTCCCTGCAAGACGAAGCGGAAGAGAAGAGAGAGCTGGAGCAGGAGAGGAGGCGCCGACAGCAGCGCGACCGGCAGTTCCTAGCAGAAGAGGAGCTGCAGCGAGAGCACCAAAGGGAAGCCAAAAGACGAGATGAGACGTTCCAGGAGGAAGAGCAGCTCCTGAGAGACCCGAGAAGACGGCCAGAGGAGAGGGATAGGAAGTTCCTTGAGGAGGAAAAGCAGCTGCGGAAGGAACGGGAAGAACTGAGGCGGCGGCAAGAACAAGAGAGACAATTCCAGGAGGAAGAGGAGCTGCGCCTCCAAGAACGCGAGGAAGAACTTCGGCAGGAGCGCAACAGAAAATCCTGTGAGGAACAAAAGCGCCGCCAGCAGCGTGAAGAAGAGCAACATCGCCGGGAGCGGCGGCGTGAGGAAGAGCAGCACCGCCAGGAGCGTGACGGAAGATTCCGCTCTGAAGAAGAGCGCCGCCAGGAGCGTGACAGAAGTTTCCACCAGGAACAAGAGCGCCGCCAGCAGCGTGACAGAAGTTTCCACCAGGAACAAGAGCGCCGCCAGCAGCGTGACAGAGGTTTCCACCAGGAAGAAGAGCGCCGCCAGCAGCGTGACAGAAGTTTCCGCCAGAAAGAAGAGCGCCGCCAGGAGCGTGACAGAAGTTTCCACCAGGAACAAGAGCGCCGCCAGGAGCGTGACAGAGGTTTCCACCAGGAACAAGAGCGCCGCCAGGAGCGTGACAGAGGTTTCCACCAGGAACAAGAGCGCCGCCAGGAAGAAGAGCGCCGCCAGCAGCGTGACAGAGGTTTCCGCCAGGAACAAGAGCGCCGCCAGGAACTCGAGGAAGAGCAGCTGAGACGCCAGGAACGTAACAGAAAATTCCAAGAGGAAGAAGAGCGCCGTCAGGAGCTCGAGGAAAAGCAGCTGCGAGACCGAAAGTTGAGGGTAGAGGAGCAACTTCGCAGGGAGCGCGAGGGAGAGCTGCGGCGCCGACAGGAATGTGACAGAAAATTCCGCCGAGAACAAGACTTCCGCCAGGAACTGGAGGAAGAGCAGCCGAGGGATAGAAAGTTCCGCCGGGAACAAGAGCTCAGGCGTGACAGAAAATTCCATGAGGAAAAAGAGCGCCGCCAGGAGCGTGAAGAAGAGCAGCTGAGGGATAGAAAGTTCCGCCGAGAACCAGAGCTCAGGCGCGACAGAAAATTCCGTGAGGAAGAAGAGCGCCTCCAGGAACTCGAGGAAGAGCAGCTGAGACGTCAGGAACGTAACAGAAAATTCCAAGAGGAAGAAGAGCGCCGCCAGGAGCGCAAGGAAGAGCAGCTGAGGGATAGAAAGTTCCGCCGAGAACCAGAGCTCAGGCGCGACAGAAAATTCCGTGAGGAAGAAGAGCGCCTCCAGGAACTCGAGGAAGAGCAGCTGAGACGCCAGGAACGTGGCAGGAAATTCCACGAGGAAGAAGAGCGCCGCCAGGAGCGCAAGGAAGAGCAGCTGCGAGACCGAAAGTTAAGGGTGGAGGAGCAACTTACCAGGGAGCGTGAGGAAGAGCTGCGGCGGCGCCCACAGGAATGTGACAGAAAATTCCGCCGAGAACCAGAGCTCAGGCGTGACAGAAAATTCCTAGAGGAAGAAGAGCGCCTCCAGGAACTCGAAGAAGAGCAGCAGAGACGTCAGGAACGTAACAGAAAATTCCTAGAGGAAGAAGAGCGCCGTCAGGAACTTGAAGAGGAGCTGAGACGCCAGGAACGTGGCAGGAAATTCCACGAGGAACAAGAGCGCCGCCAGGAACTCGAGGAAGAGCAGCTGAGACGCCAGGAACGTGGCAGGAAATTCCACGAGGAACAAGAGCGCCGCCAGGAACTCGAAGAGGAGCTGAGACGCCAGGAACGTGGCAGGAAATTCCACGAGGAACAAGAGCGCCGCCAGGAACTCGAAGAGGAGCTGAGACGCCAGGAACGTGGCAGGAAATTCCACGAGGAACAAGAGCGCCGCCAGGAACTCGAAGAGGAGCTGAGACGCCAGGAACGTGGCAGGAAATTCCACGAGGAACAAGAGCGCCGCCAGGAACTTGAAGAGGAGCTGAGACGCCAGGAACGTGGCAGGAAATTCCACGAGGAAGAAGAGAGCCACCAGGAACTCGAGGAAGAGCAGCTGAGACGCCAGGAACGTGGCAGGAAATTCCACGAGGAACAAGAGCGCCGCCAGGAACTCGAAGAGCAGCTGAGACGCCAGGAACGTGGCAGAAGATTCCACGAGGAAGAAGAGCGCCACCAGGAACTCGAGGAAGAGCAGCTGAGACGCCAGGAACGTGGCAGGAAATTCCACGAGGAACAAGAGCGCCGCCAGGAACTTGAAGAGGAACTGAGACGCCAGGAACGTGGCAGGAAATTCCACGAGGAAGAAGAGAGCCACCAGGAACTCGAGGAAGAGCAGCTGAGACGCCAGGAACGTGGCAGGAAATTCCACGAGGAAGAAGAGCGCCACCAGGAACTCGAGGAAGAGCAGCTGAGACGCCAGGAACGTGGCAGGAAATTCCACGAGGAACACGAGCGCCGCCAGGAACTTGAAGAGGAACTGAGACGCCAGGAACGTGGCAGGAAATTCCACGAGGAAGAAGAGCGCCGCCAGGAACTCGAAGAGCAGCTGAGACGCCAGGAACGCGCCAGGAAATTCCATGAGGAAGAAGAGCGCCGCCAGGAGCGAGACCGAAGATTCCGCGGGGAACCAGAGCTCCGGAAAGAAAGGGAGGAGCAGCAGCGTCACCATCAGGAACGGGAGCAACAGCTTTGCCAAGAGCGTGACAGGAAATTCCAGGAGGAGAAGCAGCTGCGCCAGGAACGTGAGGAACTGCAGTTGCGGAGGCAGAAACGAGATGGTCAGTACCTGGCTGAGGATCAGTTTGCCAGGGATAAAATTCGTCGTCAGGAACAGGAACAGCATCAAAAAGAGGAACAACTACGTCGCCAAGAACGGGAGAGAAAATTCAAAGAAGAGCAGATCCGTCGGCAGGCAGAGCAGAGGCGCCGCCAAATCCTGGAGAGTGGCACACGCCAATTTGCCAATGTCCCAGTGCGTTCCAGCCCTCTCTATGAGTACATCCAAGAGCAGAGGTCTCAATACCGCCCTTAAAGGATGCTACCAACGTCCTGGCAGCAGCCAAATCTTTTTTTCTTTTTCAAGCAAAAGAAAATGAGAAACACTGGGTATCAAATGATAACTCATGTGTTTCTGGTTGTGGGAAAACTCTCTAATCTTAGAATGTCTTTTCCAGAATCTTCAACTATACCTATTTCATTTCTTTCTATTCCTGTCTTTCATTCTGCCTCAGATCTTTATTGCAAGATGTCTTTGTTCTTTAGTGCAGATATGGTGTGCACTTTTAAAAAGAAGTCATTTAATGTTTTTAAAGGAATTTTGTTTGAGGAGCACATTGATTTATTGCCTTCATAAATAAGAATGATGTAGCAATTTGATATTCAAAATAATTGAGCCACTATTTTTAGTGGTGGATCATCTTGTTGGGAGCTCTCATTTTATAAGTTTAAGTTGACTTTTTCTTTGGCCTAAATTTCATTTGTATTCTCCTCCAAACAGTTTTCTTGATTTTTGTTGCATAATTTTGCCAGCCCTCAAATAATGCAGGGAAATGATTTATGCAGAAAAAAATACCATGTGAAATCAGTTCATAACTGAAAGAAATATCTGTTAAGAGAAAGACTTGGACAGGAAATTAGAATTTGACATTGTATTTTTATACTTAGCACCACTTAAAATTTCATGAAGCAAAAGCAAGGTGTTTCTCAAACAACTCAAATTTAAAACTGCTGTAATTTGTAGAGCTCTGTTCTATTTCCCAAAGTTTTGTTGGGTTTTTAGAATATTATTACTTTTGTACATTTTGGTTTAGAGGGAACCTCTTCAAGGCCCTGTACACATCTGTCTTGTTTGGGTCCAACAAGAGTTCAGAGTGATGGAAGAAGGAAAGGGGGAAATGTATGAACAGAGGACAAATTTCTAGAGGTTTCTAGACTTATCAGCCCACAATTATCTGAGACTTTATACTACCTTAAAGACATTCTTGTTGAAAAAAATTGGACTGTAAAAAAATCAATAAATGTTTGGCAAATAATTATCCTTGTCTGTTATAATTATGTGTCTATCATAACTCATATCTAATCTGGAAATGCATATATTTCCAATCACATAGTATTTTTACTATCAGCTATGTCCATACCACCCTGAACGCGCCCGATCTCGTCTGACTCCTATATTTTTTAAGAGTAAAACTTGGGCAGAAAATTAGAATTGGGCATTATATTTTTATACTTAACATCATTTAAAGTCTCCTGAAGCAAAAGCAAGGTGTTTCTCAAATAACTCAAATTTAAAACTGCTGTAATTTGTAGAGCTCTATTCCATTTCTCCAAGTTTTGTTAGGTTTGAGAATATTACTATTTTTGTACATGTTTGAGTAGGGAACCTACTCAAAATCCTGTAAATACTTGTTTTGTTTTCGGGGAGGTGGGGGGAGATAAGTGTTCAGTGAGTGTTGGATGAAGTTAAGGTTACCCTTATATCATTTCCAATACTACATAGACTCCCTTTCCATATGTTTTGTTCTTACTACTACCCCTTTCTGTATGCTTTCTTGCAGTGACTCACACTGGTCATGACAAATACACTAGCTACTTTGTGTCTAAGCCAATGATGGAACATGACCTAAACTTTTGGAGGAGCTCTATAGATAACAATTAGTGATCCAGAGATTTAAGCAACATAGTCCAGGAGGTGCCTGAATCAGAAAATGCTGAATAGCAGTCCATCTAAATGTCACATTGCCATCCCACAGTGCAGACACCCCTGTGCCACATGCTGAACTGCATTATTTAATTGAGTTACTGGGGAGAAAATTCAAAAAGACCTTATAAAGAATATTGCTGCCAAGCATTGGTGGTATACGCCTTTAATCCCAGCACTCAGGTGTCAAAGGCAGGTGGATCTCTGAGTTCGAGGCCAGCCTGGTCTACAAAGTGAGTTCCAAGACAGCCAGGGGTACACAAATATAGAAAAAAATCAGGAAGAAAGGAAAATAATATCACTATTTTTTATTGTGAGAATCTTGGAAAATGCCCTAAAGCTACAATCAACACATTAGTCAATGGTAAAAAGCTAAGGAGGCTAAGCCTATAGCTCCTGAGTATCATTCTGGTTGAATAAAGAGACCCTTCACTGCAAGGAGTACAGACTCTCTTACACTTTAACACAACTGGAAGATATTCCTAAAAATGGGTGAGGAGTAACTTAGTAGGAGCAGAGATGACTCAAAAGCAGCTACATTATTGAAAATCTTTTCCCCAACATGGGTAAAGACTCCCAAAAGCTGCACCTCCAGAGCTCTCAACATAGCTTGCAGACAGCTTCGTGGTCCAATCATGTCTTTCTCTGCAATTCTGCTGGTCAGTGTCTTCCCCAAAAAAGTGTTCACTCCTTTTCATACAGTGGGAAAAATATACTTCCTTTTATAGTACTGGCCCTCAAGAGTCTTCCAAGTTTTCTGTTCTCCAAGACAGGTGGAGAACATTTTTTTTTTAACCTTCTGAGGCTCATAAGACTCTTTCCTTCCTGGAGGAAATGTTTCAACTCAGAGGAAAATGCCATGCATGAGTTTAATATGATGTGATAAAAAGTGGCTTTCCACTTAGGGTAATTGTATATTCTCTCTCTCTCTCTCTCTCTCTCTCTCTCTCTCTCTCTCTCTCTCTCTCTCACACACACACACACACACACACACACACACACACACACACACACTCACTCACTCACATACACACTGGTTTATATGTCGAAGTCTTAACATTCAGTAACTTGAGATGTGCCCTTATTTGGAGAAGTAATTAAAGAGGTAATTAAAATGAGGTTATTAGTTTGTGTCCTAATCTGATATGGCTGCTATCCTTACAATACAACAACTTGAACACAGACACAAACAGAAGCAGGAAGATATGAAAACACAAAGAGAAGATTGTCACCTACTAGTCAAGGATAAAAGTATGGAATAGATCCTTGAATAAATTTATTCAAGCCAGCAGTCTGTGGCACTTGGTTATGACATCCCCGCCTAATCCATCACATAAGGTAGAGTTGTGCTCTGTTGCTAGGTAAGCCCCTGCATTACCATCTTTACCCTTAACCTTGTGCAAACAGGTCTTGCTTGGTTGCTTTATTTTTTGTTTTTTCTGGCATAATCATCACAGATTCCACCAGCAGGCTGAAGTTTTACAGCCTTCGAATAATGCAGGGGAGCAACATCTACAGAAAAACAAAACAAAACAAAACTCCTTATGATGTAAGTCCAGAATTGGAAGAAATATTTGTTAAGAGTAAGATTTAGCCGGGAAATTAGAATTTGGCATTATATTTTTATACTTTGCACCACTTAAAATATCATGAAGCATGGCCGGGCGGTGGTGGCGCACGTCTTTAATCCCAGCACTCGGGAGGCAGAGCCAGGCGGATCTCTGTGAGTTCAAGGCCAGCCTGGGCTACCAAGTGAGTTCCAGGAAAGGCGCAAAGCTACACAGAGAAACCCTGTCTCGAAAAAATATATATATATCATGAAGCAAAACAAAGTGTTTCTCAAACTTCAGAACTCAGACCAGTTTTATGATGTCATGAAAATAATCCTGTAAGAAAACAAGAAGCTAGGATTCATTCATTCACCATTCAGTCAATAACTGTTTATTGAGCTCGTGATCTGTGCAGAACATTGTTCCAGGCAATACACATGCAGGATGAAATAGCGATTCTGGGCTCTTCTTTCACTTTCATGTCTTGAGACCGTGTGTAAGCTTCGTGGACTTTCTGGGTTTCCATTGATTTGTATTCCATCTATAGGCTCAAACAGCCATCCACAATATTATCCTCAGGACTGAAGAAAATTACATTCTATTTTGAGGCGGGGCAGAGGATCATGAGCATGAGGCCAGCTGAGCTACAGAGTGAGATCCAAGTTAACCTAGTCTACAGAAAGAGACCCTGACTCAAAAAATAATTATTTTTAACTGGAGCACTCAGTGTGTTCCACTGGGTCTCTCAAAGTGACTTAATTACTCCCACCCCCAACTCCTAGAGCTAGCTAACAGAAGAGAGGAGAAAGACTTAATCGACTATAGTAATCATGAGAACACATTTCAGCTTCAAACCTTATTTCCCCAGCCAAACATCCCTGAATTCCCCTCTATTTGTCTCCCCAGATCCTCTCCAGAGCTCTTTCTTATCACCCAGGTTTATTCATTAAGAGAGAACATTTTAAATTGACTTCATTTTCTTTAATCCTCTTACTACCAAAGACAATGACCCTTCTACTTTACAACCTTAGTATGTACATTTGATTATTCTCATTCTTTTCTAAGGAGAAAACTTAGTCCTAGATTTTACTCCAATTCAAACAAAACTTCAATAGCCGTCAGTATTTGACAGGAGATCTGTGTCTGCTTCATCTTCTATACTAATTACACATGGCTAATATGTGCATTCAGTCTTGATAATTGTGAGGTATTTTTTCAGCAGGTGTACTGGACCTATAATCTTCTGAAGATTATAATCTATGTAATATGTAACATATAATGAGCACATTCCCTTGTTAGTAATGAGCTGAGAGTCACATGTAGTAATCTAAAGCAAGTCCAAAAGATTCTAAGCATTTATCATTTTTGGAACCCTCAGGCTGTTATAAAACCCTTGTAGAATTTAATTTTTATTACTTCTTTTTAAGAAATGTGTCACATATTCAGGAAGATACAATATAGGACTTGAGTCTTTAACTTAATGCCTGTCTGCCACAATCTAGTACCCATCACCTTCTCAAACTTGGATCTTACAGTATCTTTGGGGCCAGCTATATGCTCAGACTTAATCTTTAGGACAGCATAGATTGTCCTTGTTTCACAGACTTATGGTAGAATTGTGCCTGCATGGTATGCCTCCTCCCCTCCTGTATCCAAGGGAAATTTCAACTCAAGTTATAAGGCCTAGATAACTTCTACCTCCTCCCTAAAATCTTATCACTTGGACACACAATATTTCTCTCCATTGAGACTCTAAGATATGTTATCTTCAGCAGGGCAAGGTGGCACATGCCTTCAATTGCAGCACTTGGGAGGCAGAGGCAAATGATCTCTGTGAGTTTGAGGCCAGACTGGTCTATGGAGGGAGTTCTAGGACAGGCAGAGCTACACAATGAAACCCTGTTTCAACAAAACAAAACAAAAGAAACACACAGAAAGGTATGTTATCTTTACCAACCATTAATTGATTGCAATATCCTGCCTCAGTGGGCTTTACTTCTGTTTCTCTTACTAATTAGATTGTTGTAAGACAATAATTTGGACATTTTTTATTTTGTATGTTTTTTTCATGATTAACAATAAGCAACATGGCTCTATGAAGTTCTGAGGAAATGTATGGACTCTATCACTAGAAAGAAAATTATATTTAAAGCTTTAGACTGGGATTTGAGAAGTTCTTAATTATGATAAGCCTTCTTAACTTCATACACCTGGCGTAAGTGGGAGAGTCGAAGTGGAAACTGGAAAGGAAGTGAGTTTTGCGCCATCCTGGTATCACAAAAACTAGAAAAGAACAGACTGTAAAAAGATAGTTATCAGGGCTGGAGAGATGGCTCAGAGGTTAAGAGCACTGGCTGCTCTCCAGAGGTCCTGAGTTCAATTCCCAGCAACCACATGGTGGCTCACAACCACCTATAATGAGATCTGGTGCCCTCTTCAGACCTGCAGGCATACATGCAGGCAGAACACTGTATATATAATAAATAAATAAATCTTTTAAAAAAAGATAGTTATCAAACATTTCTAAGAAACCAAGTAAAATAAGGCTAAAAAGTGCATAGTTGGTAACATGTTCATCAATGATAGACGATGGAATGGGGGGGGGGGGGATACAAGGAAAATAAACAGAAGCATGGGAAGATGTAATGAGTTTTTGTAGTCAGACGGCTCCCGAATGATGACACGGAGGCTTTATTAATTATAAAAGCTTGACCTTTAGCTTAAGCTTGTTAGGCTCTTATAGCTTAATTAATCCATATTTTTTAATCTACATGCAGCATGGCTCATTACCTCCTCATTCCCTCTCCTCTTTCTCTCTCTCCCTGGAAATCTCGCCTATCCTCTCCTGCCTAGCTATTGGCCATTCAGTTCTTTAGTACACCAATCACAGCAATCCATTTTCACACAGTGTACAAATACCCCACAACAGGAAGACAGGTTTCACAAGAATGTGAACTATGAAGGAGGAGGGGAGGTTTGGTGTGGTTGAGACACACACACACACACACACACACACACACACACACACACACACACACACACTTCACTTACACTCTGCAGCAGCTCTCACACAGCTCTGCACAGCCGTCTCTCTCCACACCACCTCTGTTGCTCCCTCACATCCAAACTCTGGACAGTTCTAAATTACATTTTCAGGTCCCTACCCATTCTCAAAACACAAGATAAGTCACATAGTTTCTCTTAGGCTAGTAATGTCACATTGACCCATGCATGTAGCTCTAAGTTGGTGAGGGGTCCCAGACATTAATAATTGGCTGAACCTTGAGCAGTAAGGGTACATGCAGAAAGAGAGCAATTGCAAGGACATGTCTTGATGTAAACAGCTTGGCCTTGATTTAGCAATAAACAACACCTGGGAATTAGTCTGTGTGTATATTCTATAGGGGGAGCTTAGTGTGTCTTGGACTAGTTCTAAGGTCTTTGCAAAATGTGTAAAAGACTGTCTTTGAGACTGAGAATACTGTTACTTTCATGTGTCAGTAGAGAAGAATATTCTGGTAATATTTTTGTTCATCAGAATTATACATCTTAAACAGAAATCATAACCTGATCATCCACAACTATAAGTGCCCAAAGATGGAAAACACACTACCAATGGGCTGTGGAAGGAATCCCATGTGGGGCAAAAGAAATCCCATGTGCTGAAAGAAATTTAGATAAATAGAGCTTAAGCTTTAAGCTGTTTGTGCAGAGAGTGGATACAAATGGTACCAGAGGAAGTTAGTTTAAGCTGTTTGTACAGAGAATAGATACAAAGAACAGCAGGCGGCTAAAAGGAAGTTAGCTTGGGTTGTTTGTATGGAGATTAAAGACAAATAGTGAGAAAGGAAGTTAGCTCAAGTTATTTATGCTAAAAACAGGAGATGATGTCAGGGCATAAACAACTTGTAAATAGGGTGATCTTTAAAATGATTGGTTGGTTCCTTCATCCCCCCCCCCCCCCCCAGGGTTCTGAGGTTTTCTGGTATAAAAGAGGCTTACTGCCCTTGACTCCCTGCTGCATCTGATTGTCTCTGGGTAAGAGGGAGGCTGGGGAATGGGCGGCATGCACTTACCTTTCCTCGATTCCAGGCCACCTCTTCACTGGTGACCTAAGTTCCCAGTGGGACAGATCCCCACAATCCCACAGCTGTTCTTATTAGGGAGGCACAGGATTGACACCTGAGAAAGTTACAGACAGAAAGCAACTCGTTTCCATAGCCAGTGACCCCACAGCTTTGCCAGGTGGGGTTACCATCAGGGAGTTATACGTCTGGTAGGTTGACTTATGAAACACTAGTTGTCACTTGCTGTATACTGCCATGGCCCTCAGCAGTAATCAAACTTAGACACTGTAGAAATTTACTGAAGGTCAGGTGATAAATTAAGCACAAAGTTGAACCCCCTTATTTGTCTATTCAAAGTTATTCCTTGGTCACCTGATAAGTTCATGGAGTGTGAGCATAAACTAACTGCACTGTACACACTGATTATACATGCATACATATATATAATAGTATACATACTATTAAATGCTTGCACAACCTACACAAACATTTTTCTATTCAAATATAAAATGATGTGTTAGCTATAACAAACATCAACCATTTCATTTACATTATTGTTCTTGATAAGAATGGCTTGTTAAGGGGTAATTTGGAGGAGCCAATGACTTTAGAAGTTTGAACATGATGTGCACCAAGACCTACCCACCAGATATGCATTATGTGATGGATTATAATAATAAAAACCTGGAAACCATCAAAATATCCCCAATTGGGTAATTATGTAAACTATCATAATCCACTCATATGACAGACTATTACATACACATTGAAGCATTTTTTAAAGTGGAAAATTTAGAAAGAAAACAAGATGAAAAATCAAACATGCAGAATAAAGTGTAAACACTGGTGGTGAGCGAACTGTAAGTGGTAGAGGCTACCTTTAACCTAGTCTGTCTAGTTCTAACTGAAGTGGCCTTTCTTTCCCAACCTTCAAGAAGAGCTAATTGCCATAAGAGTCTGTAACTAAGTTCTTCTTCCTGGCATTTCAAATGCAACTGGGAAGATGCAGTTGTTGTACACAAAACGCTTGTGAAAGGCAGAGCCAGGCGGATCTCTATGAGTTCAAGTCCAGTCCAGTCTACAGAGCGAGATCCAGGACAGGCACCTATACTACACAGAGAAACCCTGTCTTGAAAAAAAAAAATGATTGCTAAGAAGGATAGTTGATAAATGTCAATTTACCTGGTGTTCAGTAATTAAACATTAGAAGTCACTTTAAGTTAGTTCAGAATGTAAATAACAACATATTACATAGTAGTGAAAATCTTATTAAACAGAAAATAAAATAAGTATTCTCCCCTACTCCAGGCCCACTCTGCAGAGAAATGCTGAGTGTGTGTGTGTGTGTGTGTGTGTGTGTGTATGTGTATGTGTGTGTGTGTGTGTGTGTGTGTGTGTGTGTGTGTGTGTGTGTTTATGTGATGTATACAACAGGGAATGTTCACTCGCTTTTATGGAAGTATGTGTGGCGGGAACAGCCAAACTCTGGAAAAATACTTGAATAGGGGAGTGAGGATTAAGAAGAGACAAGACACAGAATAGAATCAGGAGGACTGTCAGTGAATACTATAGCCCCAAATTTATTTCTCATGGCCTTTATGTACAGACAGCAAGGAGGCAAAAAGAGTTCTTTATCTTAAGGACACCATGGTCCTAGGAACAGACAAGTATAAACACCTCCTTAATTCTCAGGGCATCTGGTGACCATAGCCTTTGGCAAAACATCCTTTTATTCATCCCTGAGGAGAAAAACAAGCTTGAACTCCCCGACCCTAAGTCAAGATGGAATCAAGCCAGAAGATGGAGTTACTGTGGTCTTCCACATATGTGGAAGCTAGAGATGGACATAAGTATGTCTTCATCAGTCATGTCTCCACCTTATTTGTTTGTTGATATATTGATTGACTGAGAATGGTCTCTCACTGAACCTACAGCTCACCATTTTGAGACCACCCCCCACCCCTACCCCCATGCCAGCTCTGAGTTTATTGATGTGTACTACTGTACCTACCTCTTTTTTACATAGATAAAAAGACAAAAAAAAATTAGGCAGTGTGGAGGAATAAGAGAAGAAAGGGGAGCCCTGATACGTTAGTGTGAACCTGAAAGGAAAAAATCAGTAGCCATCTTGAGAGACGCACCACACTCCCCTCCTCCAAAGGTATTTGCTGACCAGCAGTTTTAGAAGTGACCAGAAGTTGAACTTATAAGGCTGGGACAATAAATCTATGTATCTTGGACTTGGCAAAATAAGATATGGGGAGTAAGGGCTCAACTGACCTCAGGGGAGAATTGAACTGGAACAATAAATCTGAATGTACACATCCTGGATTCAACAAAAGCAGGACATAGGGAGTAAAAATTTATGTCTCTGTAGATACTCTGAGTCCTGTTAGCCAACAGAAACCTCGGCCAGTAACTTCAAAGAACTATCTCACACCTAGCCCCCTCATCCAGTCCCAAGCTGCATGTAAACCTTTCCTATATAAACCCCTTAAAGTGAGTACTTGGGGCTGTTCTCCTCCACCTGCTGTGTCAGATGTTGGGCGCAGACCAAGCTTGCTTGTTTTGTTATTAAAAACCTCTGTGTGCTTGCATCGGATATTGGCTCTGTTGTGTCTTGCTTGGGGGTCTTGTGACCTGGGCACAACAAACCAATAAAGGAGGTTCCTCAAAAATGAAAACTATTGGGTTTGGGGAGATGGCTCAGCAGTGATAAGCTCTTACTGCTCTTGTAGAGTGCCTCTTGGAGAGCACTCACACGGGAAAACTTACAACTGCCTGTAACTCCAGTTCCAGAGGATCCAGTGCCCTCTTTTGGTCTCTGTAGGCACTTGAACACATGTGGTGCACATACATACACTCAGTGAGTGTCTTAGTTTGGGTCTCTATTGCTGTCAAGAGACACCATAACCATGGCAACTCTTATAAAGGAAAACATTTAATTGAGGAGGCTTATAGTTTCAGAGGTTTAATTCATTATCATCATGGTGGGGCATGGCAGTGTGATGGCAGACATGGTGCTAAAGAAGGAGCTGAGAGTTCTACATCTTGAACGTAGGCAGCAGAAGGAGAGATTGTGTACTAGGTGTAGCTTGAACATATATGAGACCTCAAAGCTCACCCCCACAGTGACATATTTCCTCCAACAAGGCCACACTTCCTAACAGCACCACTGCCTATGGGCCAAGCATTCAAACAAATGAGTCTATGGGGACCATACTTATTCACCACCACAGTGACATACACATATGCATTAAAAAATTTTAAATTGTTTGAAAATATTAAGTAGTAGATATTTTCCTTCATTTACTTATTTATTGGAGGAGGGGCAAGCTCATTCTGAGTGCATACATGGAGGTCAGAGGACAACTTGCAGTCATCAATTCTCTCTCTCCACCATGTGGGGTCCAGGAAGTGAATCAGTTAGTCAAGCACGGTGTCTTTATCCACTGAGCCAGTCTATAACTAGAGTTTTTAAACTTCCTTCATGTTTTCTGAATTATATCTGTTTTCTCTGGGATCAGTTTTTCTATCCTGTTCATGCTGACATTTGTACTGTGGGATGTTCTGTATGGCAAATGTGTTGCTCTGATTGGTTAGTAAATAAAACACTGATTGGCCAGTAGTCAGGCAGGAGGAAGTATAGGCGGGACAAGGAGGAGAAGAATGCTGGGAAGTGGAAGGCTGAGTCAGAGTCACTGCCAGCCGCCGCCAGGACAAGCAGCATGTGAAGATGCTGGTAAGCCACAAGCCACGTGGCAAGGTATAGATTTATGGAAATGGATTAATTTAAACTATAAGAACAGTTAGCAAGAAGCCTGCCACGGCCATACAGTTTATAAGCAATATAAGTCTCTGTGTTTACTTGGTTGGGTCTGAGCGGCTGTGGGACTGGCAGGTGACAAAGATTTGTCCTGACTATGGGCAACCAGGAAAACTCTAGCAACACATTTGTATATGCGAATATTCTTACTTGCCCATTTAATATCAATAAAAGGATAACGGGTTTCTTCTAATATGCATTAGTAGGCTTATTTTCACAAAATTTGTGACAGGGTTGGATAAAGTGTAAGATGTTTAAGCATTAAGTGGCTAGCTGGCTGCAGAGTCCCTCAGCACAACCAAATGTCATAATGGAACATGTTTTCCTAGAGTGCTCATGTCTATATTAGGTGTTTTACTTCCCAGTCAGTCTATGGGTTTGTCAACAAATACTAATAGAGCACTATAGTTCTAGTTATCTCCTAGCTGGGTAGAGTCCCAGCTCCAGGAATCTTACATTTAACATTTCTAGAAGATGTTTAATTCCTTCTGGGAGGATCCAGTTAATAATTTACTAGGAAAACAACTTTACCAAGGAGGTTAGATAGTAAATACCCACATGTCTGTGTTGTGTGCTTAAAAATGGAGGAGGGAGGGGAATGATGTCACTTCAGTACTCATATAAGAAATTCTAAAAAAAACCCAAAATATCACTTCTTGGTAAAACTAACAAACGTGCATTTAATATATACCACACCCTTCCACAATAAAACAAAAAGGAAGAGGAAGATGGAGAATGACCCCTTGTCTCTTCCGCAAGCCTGTTTACAGCCATGATTCTCATTTGCATACACCTTGCCTCCCAGTTCTGAACTCAGCGCTTCTTTATATTCTAATGGCAGGATCTGTCTTCACTTCTGTAGTACTGCTAGAACACATTCCTATGAAGCCTTCTCCATCATTGCAGTCATGAACAGCTGCTACTCCTTCACTTTCCATTTTCTACCTCTTGATGAAAATCTCTCACTCAGTTATGATTCTCCCCTAACCCTGTCATCATGCTGGTTTATTTTTGTTTAATTTGATTTTTATTTTATGAATTATATATATATATATTTAAAATTTTATTTAATAAAAGGGGTATTTTTAATTAATACTTTTATTTTAGAGAATTCTAGGCAGGACATTAAAAACATATGCTGTTGAGATAGTCAGGTGGCTCAGTGAGTAAAGATTCTTGCTGCCAAGACTGATGACCTGGGTTTGAGCCCCAGAATCCACATGGTGGAAGAAGAGAACTCTGACTACTACAAGCATGCTGTAGCTGGCCACACACACACACACACACACACACACACACACACACACACACACACACACACACGAGATGGGGGAGGAAGAGGGAAACAGAAAGAATAAATATCATTGTTAAAAACATTTTAAGAACATATATTAATTAGTTCAGTCTACCATAATCTTAAATAAGCTTCCATTACATTTAGAGTAAGTAAAATAAGATCGTGAAAATATAAACATAAGCTAAATCCTTTACTTCTTGTCGAACTTTACATTATATAATCATTAAAAATTATAAATTATTTTTTGGTCATTCTCTCTAAAGTAGCTATCATATATGCTTTGCTTGATGTTTTTATTCAAGACTTTAGTGGTGACCTTTCAGGAAAAATAGTTCTCAGGCTTCCTCCCACTTCCTCTCCCTGTCTCTCCTCCTTTTAACCTTCCTCTCTATTCCCTTGCCCCTTCTTATTTCTATGTCATACTTAGATAAAAATTAGAGGGGTAAGAACATTACCTAGTAATGATTCCAGAGATCTGTTTAAGGCAAGAAAGGGCCACCTGGCTCTTCTTTTTGGCCATGAAAGAGGTATCCGAAGCTTACTGTACTACAGTCTGAAGACCTTTAAACACAAGATGCAGGCAGCCACCTTCCTGCTCTGCCAGCACTCTCTAGGTCACCTCTCACTCAGAGTGTATTCATTAATAACATGATTTTCAATACACACTGGGACAATAGAGTGTCTGTAAAAGGGATTGTGAGTCCTCTCTATGTTCAGAGATAAGGCAAAAGACAGCCTTGCCTTTCTTAATAGGAACGAGCATATAAAACCATAGACATTCAAAGCTGAAAGAGCTAGAAAGCGATCCCAGGGGTTAAAAGAGCTGTCAGCTCTGGCAGAGGACCAAAGCTCAGTTCCAACACCCACCACCCACATCAGGCGGTTCACAGCTGCAGCTCCAGGGGACCCAATGCCCTTTTTTGGCTTGTGCATACAAAGACATATGAGTATAAGTAAGTGTTAGAATAAATAAAATAAAAGGTATCTGGCCAGGGCACAATGTCATGGAATAGTAAAGTATGTGGATACAATTTGGTCTTTGGAATCTGACACCTCATCAGCAGGAGGCTCTGGTTGGGATTGTTCCCAAGCTAACTAAATTTTCTAAATGCTGAACATGGTGTCTTGTGTTTCTTCATGCACTGCTTACTCTTCCCATGGCAGGGCTCCCCATAACCTAATAATGCAGCCTCTCTGTGAACAGATCCAGAAACAGAGAACTCAGGCTTTAGAAGAGGCACTCCTCAGTGAAGACAACTCTACTCATTAGAAAATTCTTAAGAAGAACTAGAGTCTGGCTTCTAGAAAGTTCCAACCATGTAATCTGCAATCCTTCAGCTGCAATCTGTCCCTGTATTACACAGCATTGGGAGATTGCATTAATAGGAAGACTCTGGTCTCAGAGACATCCGTGTTGCATTTATCTAATTATTCTTTATCAACAAAAAATTTGGAGTCAGATATCGGGGTAAGAAACTGAATGATCAGAGAAGTGGTGGAGAAGCAACCAGTGACCCCCTATTTCTTCCCTTCCTCCATCCAAAAGGGCTGAGATTCTCTCTAAGCCCTGCCTCACTACTTCCTGTCTATCTGTCCTCAGTCCTCCAAAACTTCTATGGTTAATTTTGGTCAGCTAGTAACTCTGCCCTCTGATTCAAAGCAAACTTTATTATCAGAATTCAATCAAAATATCACACAACACATATGTTCTGGAGACATTTAAATTCTGAATCTTGACACTTCCATTTACTAGCTATATGTCTACACCCAAGTTGCTCAACAATCAAGAGCCTTAACTTCTCCATCTATTAAGAGGATAATAACTATGTGCAAGTATTATGAGGCTTAAGATAGCCCGTGCAAAGCACCTGGTATGTCATGAGCATTCCTTTCTCTTCCACACCCATGGAAATGGCTGCTATTTGGAAGACAGTTATTTATGTGCCCCCTGAGTGTTTCCTTCAACCACTTCTCACAGGACTGACCATTGCACTGCAAGGCAAGGACACACAACATATCCAGGGCTAAATAAACCAGTGCATGACAGTGTTTGAAAAACAGTTCGTACAGACAGAGTGTTAACTAACTTTCAGGAGCAAGACTTCTTTGTGGGGAGGGGTGTGCTGAAACTGTTTAAAGGTACAAGCTGTCAGAGTGGAATTTCCCTGACCCTCGGTTACCTTGTACTCACCTTGTCAGGAAACCCAGAACAAAGGTTTTGCTGAATAACAATCCCCCCTTTAGCCTGTTTTCTCACTTACTTTCCCATCTTCACCTGTTCATGCTCTTCATCTTAGTTTTTCACTCCTATTTCTGTAGATCGACCCACTTCTTATGTCCTTTGAAAGAAGAGGCAAAGATGTCTTAAAACACACTCCTTTCTTGTCTAAAACATCGAATAAGATAACAGAATAATTTTCTTCTGAATTAAATAGTTCTAGAAGGGACCTAAATCTGTTTGGCAATAAAAACATTCTTCCCCATGAGCATCTTAGACTAATTTCCATCCCTACCTCAGCTTCCATAGCTCCCTCTCCCCATTCCAGAGAGAAAGCAGTCATCTGGATGCTCATGTCTGAGCTCCATAAATTATGAAAATGCCCTCTAAAGGCAGCTGTCAATCATATTTTAAAAATAGCATCCACTTAGGTAAGCTAGGTTTTGCATATCTAACAAGAGATTGTTTTTTTCTATTTTGGCCTTTGGGCATGGAAAGCAGAACATGAAAACAGCTGAATCAACCAATATCTCCAACCTTGTCCCATGATTAAGCAGGGCTTTATTTTAAACACATGATTGACATCCCTTTCTCAAGGTTAGGTCAAACAGAGGCCAGACTGCAGGCAGAGGGAGGCATCAGATGACTTCAGAGGTCTCCGCCAGCCCCGTGATTTGTCAGCCAGAAATACAATTATGTCCTTAGGTTAAGAACAGAAAGACTGAAAGAAAATAAGAAATCCGCCACCCCGAAGCCCTAAAAATACTTCAAAATTATAACCTACAAAAATCAGTAAGTGGAAAAGAGATCTTTCCCCTTCTTTTTGGTCAATCTGATAAGACTTAACTGAAGCTACCTCCTGAAGGAAGAAACAACAGCAGGGAGAGCCGAAGGCAGAGAGGAGGAGAGACTGGGTTTGGTGGTGATGAATCAGGTCATTAGACCCAGAGGGTGTCTCCTAACTAAGCAATTAGAGACTCAATAAAAAGGTCCCAGTGCCTGCCCTGGCTCACAGCCCGCTGCCCCACATTCCGCTTGCTCTCACTCCTGAACGAGGTAAGTAGGTAAGTCTCATAGACTCCAGTGTGCCCAGGACCTCTGCGGCTGCTTTGCTTCTATGTGAGGCTGTGGAGACTGTCGGTGGCTCAGAGGAAAGTCAACCTTTGCTCAGGATGTTAAGCTGGGAGTCCTGCCATCCAAGACACAGTCTGCAAATAGAAAAAAATATAAAGCCCATACCATAAGTTCTGTTTTATAAGATGTAGGACCTAGATCCCTATTAGATGAAAAAGTAGATTGAATTAGATCATAGCCAACGAGGGAGGGTCAGGACTGGGTTTTATCACTGAGTTCTCATGGAACAGTGCTACTTGGTAAAAACGAGTTACACAAGGGTTGGTTTTTTGAACATGACCCCTCTTCCTTCTAAAAGCTTTATTAACTTGACAGTTACATGTTCTTTCCTAGCAGACTAGGTGAGACTGAGCCAAGGGTAGGGGAAAGCAGATGGACACTCTCAAATGGGGTTTAGAGGCTTAATCTCCCTCTGTCGACTTCATTTGTGTGTTAATACTTAGGTTTGAGGTTTTTTTTTCCTTTCTTTCTTTTTTCCTCTGTTCTTGAAATAGTGTTCTCTCAGCACATGAGTGTTGCTGTTTGTGGCAGCATGAAGTGTCTATTCTAATGCCCACCTATATTGTAACTAATCTCACCATTGTATCCCTTGTAAAACTAAGTCACTCTTCCAATGCAAATACAATATTTAAAATACAGAATACAGTAGGCATTGTGGGCAGAGTTAGGCAGGTGCAGGAAGGATGACCTTGACCTTGGCTTGCCTTTCCTAGAGAGCCTATCCTGGGAGATGAGCCTTGTTTTTTTTGTTGTTGTTGTTTTGTTTTTTTTGTTTGTTTTTTGCTGTTGTTGTTTTGTTTTTTTAAAGATTTTTTTTTTTTATTTTATGTGCACCAGTGCTTTGCCTGCATGTATGTCTGTGTGAGGGTGTCCGATCTGGGAGTTACAGACAGTTGTGAGCTGCCGTGTGGGTGCTGGGAACAGCATCCACCGACATCCTTGGCAGGACAAGTGCTTTTAACCACTGAGCCAGGCGTCTCTCCAGCCCTGACCTTGTTTCCTTGCAGCCTCTTCCAGGTGGTAAAGATGTCGAGGCTCCTGAGAGGTGTCTTCTGTGTCATTGAGACATTCCACAAATATGCCAGGGAGGATGGTGACCCCAAGGCAAAGCTGACCCGAAGAGAGCTGAGACAGCTCCTGGAGAGAGAAATCAGGAACTTCCTTCAGGTGAGGAGGAGCTTACTAGTCCCCCCTTTGCCACTTTGTAACCCAAGCAGGAAGTGCTATTTGCCTGCTCGCTGTCACTTGGCTGGCTGGCTCTCTGGCTTGCACTAACCTTTCAACGATTTTTTTCTTTGGTTGCTTTTTTTTTTTCCCCCAGTCTCAGCGGCCTCTTCTATGCAACTGCTTAGTCAGTCATGCAGAGGAAAGGTTTCCATTGTGTAACTGTTGCTTCACCCAGGAAGACTTCTGCACAGGGTCATAACCCCATTATGCTTCTAACTAACTCAGCTCACATGTGATGCCATTGCTAGGGCTAGGCTTAGTGCTAAGATGAAAAAAATGGATCAGAATTGATGGGTTCTCACTGTTTAAGGCAATTTCACTGTTAAGAGGGGTAAGGTTAAAAAAAAAATTTTTTTTAAAGCTTTTCAGGAGACCTGAAGATACTTGGAACACATGACCACATGTAAATAAACAGATTTTCTTTGTGTTTACATGCAGCCACACGTGTTTCACGCTGTGGAGAGAAAGCTGAACCTTCTGGATATTGACAGAGATGGTGCCATCAGTTTTGAGGAATTTCTCCTTGCAATCTTCAGCTTATTGAACCTCTTTTATTTTGATATGTCATCACTAAATCCAGAACCAAGACCGATGTCGGAGTCAGAGAAGATGGATGATGTGGACCTTCTGGCAACCACCAGAAGGAGTCAGCAGGTAGTAGGGGTGGGACCAACTCAAGAAAGGCTGGTGTTTGCATCATCAGCTCAGCCCAGCCATGAAGAAGGTCAGGCCGGTGAACACAGTAAGACGAGCCCACGGGAAGACATTAAGACTCACAACCTACCACGAAAGGTGTCTGAGCCCAGTGACCCTGAGAACCAACACCCAGAAGAAGATGATCAGGAAGTCGCACAAGATGTACCAGCAACAGAATATGATGGAGTCCAATTTAAGAGAAATACGCCAGGAGAAGTATCCAAACAGAGCAGCAATCCAACACAGGTGATCCCCAAAGAAAGCGGTAAGGCAGTCAGGAGTCAACGTGACACCAAATTAAGTGACCATATGGCACAGAGGCCATCTGAAGACGAGAAACGTGCTATAGAAAAGAGTATTAAGAAGCATTCCACAACACAGGATCCATTCCCACAAAAAGAAGACAGAGCCATGTTGGAGCACACTGATTTGCCAATAGAAGTTGCTGCTGGGAAACCATCTCACACACAGGAAGTTATTGAGCTTATGGATGATACTAGAATATCTGAAACCCAAGAACCAGAAAAAGATGCTGGCAGAACACCACCCGAAACCACACATTCAGAGGACACCAAGGCAGACAGAACATCTGAAACACACGAATTGCCAGCGCAAGAAAGAAAACATGAAACACAGAACCAGTCTGCCCTAAGTGGGAGCAGAAATGATTCAGAAACATCTAGTAGAGGCAAATGGGAGGAGGGGAGGAAAGACCACGAAAGAAAAACTGAACCCCCAGCACCAGAAGCCCAAACACAGGGTGAGAAGTGTCAAGAGGTCTCAGGATCGTGGAGGGGAAAGGGTGCCGAAAAGGGTTCTGGTACACAAGGGCTAAGCTCAGAAGAAGGAAATCAGAATCTCCCTGAAAATAAGGAAGAACCCACCTCAGGAAAAGAGGCAAGACACAGTGAGGGAGACACAGAAGACACATTTTTGATCAGCAAAAACAGCCCCGCAGCTGAAGAGACACTGGGAACAAGAGAAAGTTCCCAGGAGCTGGCCCCACTTGAGAAGCAATCTCAAGGGAAAAATCAGAGAGCCACCAGGACTCCGGACAAGCCAGTCAGGAAGCAGGACCACAGTGCGGGGGAAGACCCTGAGGTAGCAGTTCCACCGAGTGGTGAGGGCTCCTGTGAAACTCCCAGCAGCCTGGCTCCAGAGGTAGGCAGCAGCAGCTCGGATTCAGGGGAATTACAGGCGCCAGGGGATTTGCAGAGTCAGGTAGACACCCATGGAGATGCTAAGCAAGGAAGTGACAATAACAACTCAGATCCCCAGAAGCAGGGAGCGCCAGGCGAGAGCAGCAGAGTGCAGGAGGCTGTAGTGGTGTCCATCCAAGAAGACAGACAGCTCCCAGAGGAAGAGGAACAGCCTGCCAGAGGGGAGCAGGGTGGTCCAGGGGCAGCTGTGGAGCCCAGTGAAGGAGGGGAGGTACAGGAGTCCACAGCAGGAGGTGAAAACAGAAAATCCCCAGAGGCAGAGAGTTCCGGGGCCCAGTGAGTCTACTAAATGTTTATCTATGTGGCTTGCTGGGAACACTGAATTAAAGTCGATAATGAAATATCCTGATGATCAATTTCTTGTGTTGGTTCACTTCTTCCTTCATTCTCCATCTTGGGAGACACTAACAGAAACAAGCACAATCAATTACTTGTGCTTTTTTTTCTCTCTCTTTATCTGAATACCATAATTACAGAACGATGCTCTCAAGTTTAGCAGTGACCCAGGAGTAGTTATCATATATTTCCTGAAGCCAAAGCACCAACCCCGTTCTCTTAGCATTCTGTTCTGACTTAATATTTTCCCAGTTAACTTATACCTCTTAGAAGAGGTACATTGTCTTGGGTACCATACCAAGGAATATATCAGATATGTGTATGTTATGTGTATTTATGTATAGATTATCTAGGTACTCTCCACTTGACACACCTAAAGACCTGTAACCTCCATGGCTTTGGACATCCCAGCACCAGGCACTGACAACCGCCTGTCCAGAAATGCTCTCTTCATGATCTATCTCTACCTCCCTTGTGAATCCATCACCTCCAGTTTCCAAGACTGTGGGGCCTTCTAGGCTTTCTCCTTTGACCTTCACCCCCGCCCCCCCAACCATGTATGTTATTAGCTACACTGATGCCCTCAATCTGCTTGTTCAGACCTGACTCCACATGTTAAGCCCACCCTACAAATAAGTTGTCACTTTTGAGATTGTCAGCCCCTGCCCCCTAGACTAGAATGGGTCTCTTCATTTCCTTTCTTCTGCCATTCCCTCAATCCCCATTCCATCAGAGTTAAAAGACACAAATACCAAAATCATCATTTACCTTGCCTCTTTTTTAATCTTTATATCTAATCCACGACAGTATCTTTTGATAAGGTTTTCCTGTAAATACATCTTCCAGATAGCTCTTTCATCTCCACCCCATATAAATCCATCTTCTGGATAAACCGTCTTTTCACCATTACATACAAGACTTCACATACCAAAACTAGTGTCTCTCCCTCCCATTTTACCAAATGTCTAAATGTTTTCTGTCCTATGGGGTCCAACCCCAATGACACTTCACTCATTATAAAATCTTTATTTTGAAAAGTGCATGATACAGGGTTGGAGAGGTGGCTCAATGGTTACGAGCACTTGCTGTCTTCTAGAGGACCTGAGTCCAGTTCCCAGCACCCACATCAGGCAGCTCACAATTGTCTGTAACTCCAGCTCCGGGGGATCCAATGCTTTTGGTCTCCTCAGGCCTGGCACTCATGTGCATATCTACATGCAGATAACACACCTATACGTGACTGAAAAGAAACCTTTTTTTTTTTTTGAATCTGTGGTAGTGTCAGATACTGGGTATGACATTAAGGGTATAACTGAAACCAGGACAAATAAGAACTCTTCACCCTGGAGTTTACATGCTAGTGAGGGAAGGGAGAGTCAAACAGTAGAATTAGAATAAGAAGCAGACAAGGGAGCTCCAGGCAGTACAGCAATGAAGAGGACAGACCGTGGGAGTGGTGATGGGGAGGTGAGTGTCAGAAGCACAGCTTTAACCCTGTGACCCCTCTAGGTTCCTCCTGCCCAGCAGATCTAAGCTCCCTACAGTCCAGAGTCCTCACTTGGGCTTCTGCTCTTAACTTTCTCCTGAGTTTTAATTACAGATGTGCTAGCCGAAACATCCTTCTCAGTGCATAGACTCTTTGGTGGCAAGATTTACAAAGTGAACATCTTACTGTTCTTCCTGAGCCTGGAGTTTGACCTCAGATATCTATTATGGTTTCAGTAGGTGTTTGTTGAGCAAGCAAATGAATGGCTGCTTCATTTCAACATCCTCTTCATTAGGTTCCCATTGCCAGTCCATTCCCATTCAAGCACTCTTGAATTTTGCAAGACACTGTTTTCATCTCTTTACCTCCCTCTATTTAAGAACTCTTAGTGACACCTTATACTTTCCCGTGTACCACATCAAGCCTAAGCTGACCAAACTCTCTCTATTATATCCCTCTAATTACAATTGACCACCACTTCCTGTAGAAATCTTTCTGAGAACATCAGCTTGCTCATCTAATTGTCTCTAACCACTACTTTGATCATATCCTACTAAGTTTATAGGGACATTAATGGGATTGAATGCATGTAAGTGTATTTATCAAGCACTGGTTATATGCAAGCCACTGTGGTAGACATAGGCATGCTCAAGTGAATGGGAAGGTCATGGTCCCCACCCTCATAAAGGATACAGCCCTGCATAAGACAACTGCAAAGTCCTGCAGAGAGCTAACCAGAAGTTAGCAGTAATGCGACTTCCTCCCACCTCTATGCTGCTTGTTCTTGTGGCTCATCCTCCCTGAAGCTCCCTTCCTCTTCCTCTCTACTTCCAACTCTACCTTGTCCTTGAAGCCCTAGACAAAGTCATACTTCCTGTCGTAATCTCGTACTGATCCACACACAGCCTGCATCTCTCAGATTAGTGCTCACCGTATACTAGATTTTGCTAATTGCTCTCTCAATATGATTTCCCCAGTTGCACAGATTATAAGCACTAGAGAAAAGGAATCGTACCACTCCAGCACCTCAAGTGTCCCCGGGTGCTTCCTTACCTTCTCTTATGATAGCACCACCTGTGTAAGTGTCATCTAATCCACATAGCAGTCCTGGAGAAATGGAAGAAACAGAGATAGTGTCCGGAATAGACAAAGAATGCCTACAGAATTAGGCAACAGAATCTGAGAA